GAGCCTGAGACCCTGAGAGCCACGCCCCGGACCTGGGACTTCGTCCTGATCCCTCTTCTCCTACACCAAGCCTCTTTGTCACACTGTCTGCCTGAGTCCTGGACAAGGATCTGTCTGTGGAAACCAGGGAGAGACCCCCCAGGCCGCGCCCAGCCCCTTCCCCTTCACTGCTCCTCCTGGAATCCCCGACCCTGAACTGGACCCCCTGCCTCCCACTCCTACCTCTCCCCTTGGACCTTTGTACAGGGAAACTCACCACGGGGAACTTCATGCCAGAGAGTGAGCTCCCCCTGGGAATGGAGGTGGAGAGACAGGGGTTTTCTCTCTAAACCTGGTGAAGTTTTGTCTGAAGGCACCACGTAGAGATTCTCATAGAGACGAAGTTTCCTTTTTGTTTATTAATACAGTAGGTAGCACAATATTGGTAATCCCTGAATGATTAGAATTCCAATGTGTAAAAGACCTGTGTCAAAACAGCATTACAAAGCTCCTAAGTTTTACTTTCCCAGATTATGGATCTGTGACTGTGGGTTGTTGCATTTAAAATTACGTTCATTCCCTAGCCCGAGTTTCCCTGTGTGAGTCCAGAACATCTCCTGAACACAAAGAAGCAGGGTTTGTTACTGTCTATTGCAACCGGGAGCCTGTAGTCATCACCTCAAAGTGCGAGTGCTCCATGCAGACCCAATGCTCTTCACCGACGCTCAAGCACTGCCTGTTTTCCTGAACTCTGCACATCTAAGCAGTGTGCATATTTTATCTGGACACTTGGCATTTTTGTAACTCTTTTTTTTTTTTTTTTATCATAAGGAGCCAACTAGTTTTTAGGAAGTCCAACAAAATGTATCGAATACCGAATGCAAAGAACCCCCTGCTAGGCTCTTCCACTGCTTTAGAATTCTTTCCTCTGCTCCTTTTCCTCACCTCCTGCTTCTCCAGCCCTTCTCTCTGCCCCTCTCATCCCTCACACGCCCCCCCTCCCCTTAGTCCCCGCTACCCTGTCACTCCTGAATTGTGGCACTAACACTGTCCCTCACCTCCTGCCCATGTCTGTTCTCCCCACAGTGCTCAGCGGTCCTGCTAATGTGAGCAAGGTCCTGTCCTTTCTTCACTTAACAATGGTTGGATTTTGGTCTACCATTTTGCTATATGCTTTCAATTTGTCTCGTATCTTTTTTTTTCTGTTCCTCCTTTGCTACTTTCTTATGTGTCAAATAAACAGTTTTTAGTTTATGGTTTTAATTCTCCTAGTGGCTTTTGGCTATATTTCTTTACACTAGCTTTTTATTGTTGTAAGAATGGAAACCCGATTCCTTGACTTTTCACAGTGAAGTTCAGATTCTATTAAACTACATCGGGCAAAATAAAGGATACTTGTAACAGTGTAGTTTCATTTAACCTACATTATGCTATTATTGTTTTATATATTACATCAATCTATATTATAAACTCAATGATACTGTGTAATACTTTTTGTTTTAGACAAGCAGCCACATGTCTTCAGGAAATTAAGAAAATGAGTGTGAATGTGACATGTGTGTGTGCATCATTCCTGTTGTTAATTGTTCCTTTCTGTGTATCTGGGTCACCATCTAGTATCATTTCCCTTCAGCCTGAAGAACTTCCTTTAAAATTACATGTAGTACAGGACTCCTAGGAAATGAATTTTATGGCTTTGATGATCTAAAAATGTCTTTATTTTTGCCTCCCTCCCCCCTCCCTTTTTTTTTTTTTTTTTTTTTTTTTTTTTTTTGCTTATTAGGGCATTTACGTGTCATAAAATTCACCAGTGTTAGCTGCCCTTTTTGGTGAATTTTGGTAATTATTTATAGTCGTGTAACTACCACACTG